CTGATCACTAATTATATTCACCACTGTCTATCTACTAATTACTATTTATCTTCACTGTCCATATACTAACTCTGACTGTGATGGCTCTCCTCCACCAATTTATATACAAATTGGTGGTTTAGAATGCTCCCCCACCAAAATTGCCAGAAGTGAAGTTATTTCTGCAAATATAATTGATTCATTTTCCCTAAAAACAGAACTGCCCACTGAGCACCGTGATGGGCGCATAAAACAAATCTTGACAAGAGATCAAGTAAAAATTTTAATTGAAAAGACACTTTTAAATGAACGGAGCCATTTTTTGATGATATAATAGATAATTTTGCAAGTTTAAAGGATAGGAGAATCGACATTATGTACAAAAAATAAAAAAAAAAATTTTGTGTTTTATTTTCAACGCGTCACCTATATTTAAATCCACGAGCCGTCACTGCAATGATTAAATAATTTTATTTCCATAAAATTTCTCAGTCTACCTTTGTCTTTTTTGATACAGGAACTAAATAATAAGTTAATTGAAAATAGTTGTGAATGCAAAATAAATCCTGTAATTAAATTTTTAGACAAAAAAGAACTGAATTAAAACAAGAGTATGCGATTAAACCATTTGGTGTTTTTGGAATAATCAAACTTGTTTTTTCTAATGGAATTAATGTGTCTAGCGTCATACACAGCTAAAGTTATTATCATGGGTTCAATGTGACATATACTTAAATCGTTTTTTAACATGCAATGTCTCATATTCTATTTTTTAGAAATTTATTGATCACACGTATTTACATAATTATTCTTAAATTATTGTATTTAAATTATGTTGTATTACGTGTACAAGTCCTATAAATATCAGAATTTAAATAATTACCCATAAAAAAAAAAACTAAGAAAAAGTAATTCACATTATCAGAGTTGGAATATAATTATTTACAAGACATTTTGAAAATATGTGAACATTTCTGAATCTACGAGACTGGAATGATTAAAATTATGAACTGCTGCTTTGTCTAAAAAAACGAATTGTCCATTATTCATGAATTGAATACTATACTTTATCGACAACTGTATAAAGGGTGGCCAACCGAAAACAAAAAGGTGATTTTTAGATTTAGTTTTTAAAGTTGTTGAAAATAGAATTGGCAAGATTGTTCGTAATTAAAAGACCTTTTAAATGAGGGTTATTTAAGCACACCTGTGAATTAAAAAGCCTTTTTGCAGGAACTCGTTAAATATTATTTATTGATGTAATTAATAGTTGCTAACATTAGAATTTAAAATATTAATGGCTCCGGTAACATCATTGCGATTATTGGTCGTTAAAGAAAAATAAAAAACCTAATACGTGTTGTCCGTCCGTCTGTCTGTTACGAAATTCGATTTCCAACCCATCAAGTTTAGTCACTTCAGAAAAATTGAAACTTTCTCTATCAAGTAATGCCTATAAATGTTAAATTTTCATGTAAAGGAAAGTGGTTTTCCATCAAGTTTCCGCCTATACCAACTTTTTTTGATAGCTTATTTATCCGTTTTGGAAAATTTCCTCTCGTTTGGTGAAACAAGAAAAAAAAGTTTATTTCCTAAATGAACAATCTTCAAAAAAGAAAAAATTCAAGTGTACTACTCGACGTTTCTCATAATCTGGCATAAAAGTTTTTCCGATAACTCAAACACGTTCCATAACAAAACAAGGACGCTTTTCCGGGATAGAGCAAAAAACCTCATTTAGACAAAACTTGTTGATTGATGTATCACATGACAGGGTTTTTATGACAGGGAGGGGGGAAATAAAGCGAAACTTTTAATTTTTCACTAATTCATGAAATATTTGATGTTATTGGAAAATTTGAAATTATTCTACATTAACTCTGTCAAATCATGTTGGAAATTTAAAAATTTTAAACTTTGGTGGTTGCATGACATGAGACATGACCGAGGACATGACTCACTAAAACTTTACTTAAAAGATGAGATAGAGTAAAAAATCTTAAAAAGAAATGCCCGGCTCGACGAGACAGGGGAGGGGGAATTTAAAAAACCGTGACAATTTTGGCCCTTTATCAGAAATGTTTGAATAATTAAAAAGCGTTTTTAAAATATTTCAATTGGGAAAAATTTAAAAGTGGCTTGGTGATCGCGTTAGATGCGACATAAATTACTACTCAGACAGCACACAGCTGTCCAAAGGACGTCCAGCATTTTACCGAAGGACATCCAATTGACATCCATTGGACTATTCCATTTATACTCCATGAAAGGGTCCTATATGGCTAATAATTGAAAATGTAAAACTTTTAAATACAATTTTATTATCTAATATGAAAATATGCATTTGCAACATATTAATTTTCTTTTAAAAATGCCATTTTCCTTGGATACAACATTTGACAACACATCTAAAAGAAATGGATTTTTTGAATGTAAATCAAAAATATATCGCTTAAAACAATTCTTAGGTTATGTTAATTTAAAACAAACAATTTGCTTCTTAATTTTTGGTATTTTAAATAATTTAATGTTAATTATACTTATTTTCTTACCAGATAACAAACTATATCAACAGAAACTTTATCCGAACTCGAAACTCGAACTTGTGGGCCGTTCTTAACCTCTTTCTTCTTTTTTCTTATAGTTTGGCCTGAATTGCCTTTTACTTTGTGTCTTATCAGCTTAGTAGCGAAGAGAAGAAATATTGATTTATTTTAATTAAAACCTAGTTATAAATAATTAAATTATACCAGAAGAATGATATTAATTTGTTATGTCTATATAAATTATTAAAAATAATTATTATTATACCAGAAGAATGATATTAATTTGTTACGTCTATATAAATTATTAAAAATAATTTATGTCTTACTAGACAAACACAGTTTTTTAATTAATTTATTATGTTAATATTAACAGAAAAAAACAATATTTATCTGCAAAATGTCTAGTAAAATCAAGTTAGTAATTTTTATAGTATCCATCATCATTTTTTTGACATCCATTGGACTTCTGAATGGGTATATCCATTGGAATAACGGAAAATGGACTTCCAATGGACATCCATATGAAATTGATGGACACCCAGGACATTATTTGGACAAAATATGGACTTCGTGTACTGGGTGGGTAGTCAATGTTGCTATGACGATTACTGGTCGAAGATGACAAACCATTGGAACCAACATTATCATTATTGATTTGACATAAAATTGTTCGAGCTGTTTCTATTTTGTTCTTTTTGAAATTGTTGAGTTACTCTTTTGCTGTGGGGGTGGATTTTCAGCCTCCATGACATTTTTATGCTGTTGATACTCCACCATCAACAACCAATGTTGCATATGGATGCTTGAGGCAATGGCCAGTATTTGGTAATTGTAAAAACGTTGACATTTTACTTTTCTACTGCGCCAAACTTGTTTCTTTCCATTATTTGATGGTGCATTTTCTGGCCGGAGGTCTATATATTTTTTGTCAATTTTAAAAAAACCATTCACAATTGTAAAATTCAAATTCCTTGGGACTTTTATTTATGTGTATGGTACGTTTACTTGAAAATTTCTGGCATCAGCAGAAAACCAATTAAAATATTTCATTTTCAGTCGCGTGTATCAGCATATCAAATCAGCTCTGACACTGATAAGTTCCTTAGGGGTGTTATCACTTAAGTCAAGTTTACACCAAACAAACGATTTCAAGAAAGAATCGAGAACAACGAACAACTGTCAACTAACTTGACATACGCATACTAGATCTAATGATTTTAAATTATAGTCGGGTATAATAGTCAAATACCGTATATGAATGAATTGTTTCTAGTGAAATATGGATTGTATTATGTTGCCTTATAAACGCATATACTATTTCCATATAATTTTAACATAACCGCCTTTAATGTATACTTTTCTCCACGACCCCTGCACCTATCTATGCGAATTTTTCATTTTCCATAGCAGTGCTCTTATACATTTTCTGAAAACATGTTCCTAGTCTTCTCAGATTTTTCTTTGACACTCTTACAGCTCTACTGTCTTAAATATGTTTCCTTTTAGTGCAAATTTGATTTTGGGTGCCTAATAAAAAAGTCACATTCGAAACTTCTTGACAGATAGGGTAGTGTGGGATGCAGCATTGTCAAGGTAAAAAAAATCATGACTTTGTTTTGTTAAAATCTGTATAACTTTTTTGCAATTTCTACGGATTCAGTATCAGTCCAAGTACTTAACCGACAATTTTTTTAATGTTTGTGTCTGTTTTTAAGGTGCAAGATCGTCTTGCGCGCGAATTGTCTGCGTTCACTTCTCGTACTTCTTTGATCACTCAAAATCATAAGTGCGTTATAAATACTAATCTTCATATCCTTTTTTTAATAAAGCATACATTTCTGTGGTGGAGTTTAACAAAGAGCTTTACATTGAAGGATTGCTCTCCTTGAACACTTATACACATGAACATATTTCGGCCGGAACAAAGAAGTAAGGTACACTCCGAACAAAGACCACGACTTTATTAAACTAAGCCTACCCTTTTAAGATAAATGAGGTGTCACGCGTTAGTAACCTTAACACCCTCAACATTTGTTTGCAGAAGGATCAGTCCGGTTTTTTCTAGCAACACCTCGTATGGTGCTCAGTTCTACACAGTTTTTACACAGCTATCTAGTTTCTTTGGTTACGCTAAAAAAAAACGTGTATTCCAAATTACAAAATAGAAAATATGTCCTGTAAGATCGATCAAATTTCTACTCGTACTTCTTAGTACCTAGGTACTAAATTCAGCAATTAATATATATTTTTTTATTTTGGGTCATCGGCATCGGCATCGACTAAGGTCATTAGCCTCGTGTTCTGTGTAGGCTTTGTTAGTTTCCTACTGTTTCCCACTTTAGGAACCGCACTGTTAATAAGAACCCAACAGTGAATGGTCTAGTGGGGAATTCTACCAATTCAGCCATTATTAAAAATAATTTTGTGGATAAACTCTTTAAGTTGTATATAATATTTAATATTTTATTGTTTCAGATTGGTCTTATGAGAAGTGGAAGACTCTTGGCTGAAGAATCACCTCAACGCCTTTTATCCATGTATCAGTGCACATCACTAGAAGACGTATTTTTGAAATTATCAAGAAAACAAGTTCAGGTCGGCTCTACCGCCGACCAAAATATAGCTAACAATATTAGTTTAGCTTCGTTAAATTGGTCGAAAAAGGATGCCATTTCGGTGACGGAAGAAAGTGGTGTAGTCGGTTTAAATTTTCACCAAAGCAAAGAAGTTTTGGTGACTGATAGTAATGGACATATAGATGTAAGTGTAAGTAAATAATAAATTTTATGATTTGTCGATAACGTTCGAGTCGTTGACGCTACACTTAAATTAAAAATACACTGGCGTTTGTTTCTAAATCCAGGAGATTCATTGTTAATAATTATGAGGGGTAGATCCCATATCAAAATTTTTTCAGTCCAAAATGATCTAAGTGAAATTGGGTTTTTTTATTTTTATCGCAAATCCGCATCCTACTAAAATTTTATGAAAAACAGATCAGAGGGAATTGCTAATATGACAGTAGCCTTCTTTGCAAATTTAAATTGTTATTCAAAACAAGATACGATATCAAACTCTTAGTTCTATGAAAAGAAACCAAAAGACCAGAAAGTTAACAAATAAAACCGGAATTCTAAATATTTTTAATTTATAAAATTCAAATTAACAATTGAATCACCTTCTTACATATTTGTAGGTGGAAAAATACTAGATAATTAGCTCTTTACTAGTGTCTGTAATCTTACATTAACCCAGATTTGAGAAAAAACAATATGAACTCAATTTTACTTGAATCTTTTTGGAGGTAATATCTCTTAAGGTGTCCCCAGATATACGACCTGTACTAAATATTAATTTTATGTACGTTGAGCGATAATTCTTTAACACGGTGTCCGATTTCAATGATTCTTTTTTGTTAGAAAGGGGGTACTTCAGGGGTGGTCCCATATAAATTTGCACAAAATCTAATAATTGGGTCCATGAGAAAATCCTCAAACTCTTAATTTTTATGTATGTTTAGCGATAATGTTTTACCACCTTTTCCGATTTATATGATTCTTTTTTTGTTAGTAAGGGGGTACCTTAAGGGTGGTCCCATATAAATTTGGTTAAGGTGTTGTGATGGCATCTGCACGTTTTTGAAGTCGGTTTTTTTTAATTTTTAATTTCTAGTACTTGTTTTACAATCAATGTCAAAAACTGACAATAGTATTATTAAACGAGCAATTTTAGGAAGCCATTATTCACGCGTCTCGAGCCGTAGGTGAGGGGGGCAACCCACCCAAGTAAAAGATAGCCATAAATTGCGAGTGTAATACTGTACTTTGTCCACGACCATTATGATTTCTATATTAAATAAAAATTAGGTATAGAACGGAAAGTTTTTAATTAACATAGGTAACTAACTGTTGCTGTTTAACAATGCTTCAAATTCAAAATTAATAAATTTTAGGACAGGAGTACGTCAAAGTCAAGTAATCCGTGACACCTTTAGAGATGGGCGATATTATGTAAAGTATCGATTCACCGTATGGATATATTTAAAATCAATATTAAGTGCACTTTAGGTTATGTGATTTATCATATGATTTTATCACAAAATGGTATGATTTTAATTCTACATATGACTAAAATATTTATGACAAAATCATGTGATAAATCACAAAATCTGAAGTGGACTCTAGAAAATATCGTTATGAAAAGTATCGCCCATCTCTAGTCACCTACGGGAATGTGCCAGAATTACAAAAGCGTGAATTATCATAATTCACTCTAGTGATATATGGGTACCATATGCTCTTAGTTAGGGGGTAGAATATTGATTTATTAATAAGTGGTCGTGGGCAAAATATTAAATCTAGCAAACACAATAAGTATACATAGTAAATAATTGATAATTACACTGGATAGTTTCAACACTCTCCCTTAGTTTGTATTCTCCATTATTTTTGCGCACAAATAATTTGAGAAATCTCTTGATAAAGGCTTTGTTAACATATCTGAAATATTTTCTTTCAATTGAATATATTCGATGTTAACATCTTTGGACATATCGCGCTTCCTTACATAATGATACTGAATATCTATATGCTTGCTTCGTTGGTGATGAGCTGGATTTTCAGAAATATGTATAGCGACCTGATTATTTCACCAGTAATAGTGTCTTTTATAATATATTGCATCAAAATAGCTTGTCTGAAAGCTATGCTGAGAGCCATATATTTAGACTCTGTGGTGCTTACTGCCACAGATTGCTGTTTCTTTGTAGTTCAAGGTACAAGAGACAGTCCATAAAATTCTATATATTCACTATAAGAACGTCTATCATCAATGCAACTTACATAGGAAGCATCACTAAAACATGAATATTGATGGTGAAATTGTTTATTTAAATACAAGTCTTCGATTTACTGATTCTCATATTATTATGAGAAACAGTAAGATCCACACAAAATTGTTATTAAACATTAACTACAAACGTTATATCTGGCCTTGTTCCTGTAGCGAGATAAAGAAGGTTCCCAATTTTTGATTGGTAGCATTTTTTATCGGTTTTTGAATCACCTTCTTTCGTTTTTTGTGGCTTGGAACCTAGGTTTATTGATGTAGATGTAGGTTTACAGTTAGACATATTATAATTTTCCAATAATTTAAGAATATACTGTTTTTGATCTATGTTGGGCCCCATTCAACTTGTAACGATAATAAAAATTTCGGTACACCAAGAAAATTATTTTTTCCTTGGTACTTCCTAATAATAATATATTGTCTACATATATTCGGGTTAGTACTAGAATGTCACGAAGCTTTGGCCGAAGTATCCATCAACAATGTGGTCACCTTAAGATAGAATAATGGTCACGCCACATCGAAAGGTAACCGTCTTACCGATTCACTGGCCAACCAAATACTTTTTGGACCTGGCCCTTTTATTTGCTGGCAATAAAATAATTTGCTTTTAGACGTCTATAACAATCAAAAAATCCCTTTGCAAGCCTTTTTGTCGTCCAGTTTTGCTAGTATCGGTGTAAGTTTGGAAATATCCCCACATATATTGTAGCAAAACCGGATAGCAGAAATGGGATTTTTTTATTGTTATAGACATACGATAAACATATGAAATATAGATAACTAATGGGCGGCTTTTAACATAGGCTTAATTTAAGGAGGTCCTTTCGCCACCAATGTTAAATAAAAAATATTAGATTATGACTAAAATTAATTTTTTTCTAATAGTAGATGTCCTTATTTATCTAATAGTGAACTTTTAACTATACCTTACCGTGCAAATTTTTGAGAAAAATATTTTTTAAAAATGTGTGTGTTTGTACAGTGTCTTATGAGAAAGTAAGACTTCAACAACAATTTTCGAATTATAATTAATTTTACTATTATTTATTGATTAGATGGAGTAGAAAAAAACTATAAATAAGGTTTTTGAAATATTTAGGTTTTCTTTTTTACAATAAGATATACAGGGTGATTCACATAAGAACCGACAATATGGCAATTTAACGCAACTTACCTCTATACCAAGTTGCTTCCCTATAGGCTTTGAAAGTGAAGTTATAAATTTTGAAAAAAAACAATATCTCCGTTATTCTTGAACTTAAAGCAACCTAATTTGGTACACTTTGTGGATGTATTTAGGGCGTTACTTGACAGTAACTAGAGTTTAATTGAAATTTGTAAAGGGGGTATACTGGGTGGCGCACCATTAATATTCAACAGAATTTTGTTAACCCTTGATGGATTTTAAAAATCTTTGCTTTGTTTTGTGGGCAATTCAATTCTTAAACTTTTCTTACTCTAGTAATTTTTCGAAAAAACTCATCATTTTCATCAAAAACTCGAATAACTTAAAACGCGCGCTCTAGGTGTGTTATTTAAAATCAGCGAAAATTCAAAAGTTGGCTATGAAAATAAACGTCAAACAAGAAAGTAGGTCATTTAATGTGATCAGTAGGAATTGGCTGGCAAATTATTATTTAGATACGTAACAAAATAACTTAAAGTAAGTACAGATACTGAAATGTGAAAAACTGGGATTAACAACTAACCAAAATAAACACAAAAAACTTAAACAACAACCAGAACAAACAATTGTTTATCGATAAATTAAAGAAATTGTTCAAAATGATCGCCGTTTTCTCTCACGCATAAATTTATTCTTCTTCGAAAATTAAAATCCACCCTATCTAATAACTGTTGATTATTCCTAATAGATGTGCATTTATGAATAATGCGATTCCATAATTCTTCTTGAGACGCAACGGGCGAAGAATACACAAATTCTTTCAACGTTCCCCACAGAAAGAAGTCACATTTGTTCAGGTCAGGTGATCTTGGGGGCCAACGTTGTGGGCAATTATTTCCTCTTCCTATCCATCTATTGGGATACTGGTGGTTTAAAAAATTTCTTACGTTCATACTAAAATGAGGCGGTCCTCCATCGTGCATAAACCAATGTTGCAACCTTAGTTGTAAAGGTACCTCGTCAAGTAGATACGGAAGGGTGTTTTGTAGAAATTCTAAATAATTTTCACCATTCAGCCGATTCGGTAAAACAACAGGACCAATTAAATATCGATCAATAATTCCCATCCAAACATTAATTTTGAATTCACGTTGGAAATGCCGAGGAGTTATTGCATGTGGGTTTACGTCAGAATACTCATGATAGTTATGGAGATTTGTGATACCTCTGCGAGTGAAAGTCGCCTCATCCGTAAAAAGAATTTTCTTTTGGAAGTTATTATCTTGGTGTAGAATAAACTGACAAAAATTGACACGTTGAACCAAATCTCCGGGTAAAAGTTCTTGGACTTTTTGTACATGATAAGGGTGTAGTAGATTGCGACGGATAACTCGATGCACAGAACTCTGCGATATACCAATTTGTCGAGATAAATTCCTAGTACTAATATGTGGATCATCTTGAATAGCATTTAAAATGGCTACCTCAACTTGTGGCCTGAGTGCGACAGCACGTTCTCGAGTATTATTGAGAAACTTGCCCGTTTCTCTAGCTCGTCTTTCAACATTAGAAAATGTTTCTCTATGGGGAATGATACGGTTAGGAAATCTTCTACGATATTCTTCTACACTTCTTCTACAGTTTCCTTCACAAAAACCTAGCACTAACAGCATGTCAACTTGCTCGTTAAAAGAAAACTTCCCGTTCATTTTAAAAACACTCAAACAACAATTACTTAATTGAACAACTTCATTGTCAAGTTTGACGTTTATTTTCATAGCCAACTTTTGAATTTTCGATGATTTTAAATAACACACCTAGAGCGCGCGTTTTAAGTTATTCGAGTTTTTGATGAAAATGATGAGTTTTTTCGAAAAATTACTAGAGTAAGAAAAATTTAAGAATTGAATTGCCCACAAAACAAAGCAAAGATTTTTAAAATCCATCAAGGGTTAACAAAATTCTGTTGAATATTAATGGTGCGCCACCCAGTATACCCCCTTTACAAATTTCAATTAAACTCTAGTTACTGTCAAGTAACGCCCTAAATACATCCACAAAGTGTACCAAATTTGGTTGCTTTAAGTTCAAGAATAACGGAGATATTGATTTTTTTCAAAATTTATAACTTCACTTTCAAAGCCTATAACTCCTTAGGGAAGCAACTTGGTATAGAGGTAAGTTGCGTTAAATTGCCATATTTTGGGACCCCCTATATGCCCCTGCTCTATGTCGGTTCTTATGTGAATCACCCTGTATAGGTTACCGTGAAATTTATTGAGAAATTATTATTAAAAATTCACAAAAAATTTTCAACTAGGTTACTTGAAAATTTTTTGTGATTTTTTTAATGTTAATTTCTCAATAAGTTCCACGGTTTACTATATATATATATTTTATTGTATAAAACAAAATCTAAATATTTCAAAAACCTTATTTTTAGTTTTTTTCTACTCCATCTGATCAATAAATAATAGTATAATTCGAGAATTGTTGTTGAGGACTTACTTTCTCGTGAGGCACTGTACAAATACTCACATTCTTAAAAAAAAAATTCTCAAAAATTTGCAAGGTAAGGTATAGTTAAAAGTTCAGTATTAGATAAATAAGGACTTCAACTATTAGAAAAAAATTTGAGGCGAGAGGTGTGGCGAAAGGACCTCCTTAAAGCCAGTATCTACGAACTTTTAACAGTTTTGGTCTCTACGGGCATATAAAATAGTTTTTTTTTATCAGAATCCAAAAGATTCCTTTGTAAATATTTTGTCAAGGACAAATTTAAAGAAACATGCATCCAAAACAAAGTGACTAGACCTTAAAACCTTGACCTGGGGCATTAATTTCATTTAGATAATATATTTACATTTAAATAAAACGCTAAAATAAATTTACTGTAGCAACAAAATCAGTGATTTGTTATCGATTCAGGTTTAATTTTCGTTTTAATAAACTAAAAGATTTCTTTATTATAAATTTTTAATGTCATTTATTGAAATAAAATAGATATTTGTGTACCAAAGGCTATAAGTATAGAGTTGATCTTTTTCGGCCCAATCAGAAATTTACGGCAGAGGCCAAGTAACTTCTGGTGAGTAATATTACAATAGATAGACATAATTTATTTCATGTAGACAATTTTACAAAATAAAGATTGTACATTTTTTAAAAACTGTTTGAGCTTAATCTTAAATAAAATATCTGTTCATAATTTTTTATGAAGTTCGGAAGTTTATTGTATATATTTAGGAGACCTTTAATTAAATCTAATCTACTAATTTGTATATGACTAGTTACAAAATCAATGAAATCTAGATTTTGCTTAAATTTATTTAGGTTCTTAAAAACATATAAACAAATTTCTAGAACATAATATAATGAAGCTATGTCAAAATGACATTCAAATCCTAACCTTAGATATTTGGACCAATCAGCATTTACGATTTATAATTATGACAGCTTACAACAAAAATTTAAAACTTACGAATAGCAAAATCGTCTGGCATTAGAGAATACCATAATCGCATGTTTGTCGTTTTAATGATTGAGCTTTGTTGAGAAGTCCGCTTGGCGCTTTTTTTTCTATGTGTTTTCGGGTAAAAACTAGAGAATAACCCCCTCTGACTTGTTCTAGATTAACAAACTGTTCATTAATAAACTTTCAACATGTTTTATTTTAGATCTTTTAATAATCTTCAAAATTATATGTGCCATAAATAGTTTCTACAAACGGGCATTTTTAAATTTCCAATATATTTCAGTGTTTTTGTTAATTTTATCAACTTCAACTGTTCCTAATTCTAGATTTTGAATCCAAATTTCACTTGCTTCAAAGTTTATAGGAAACCTGCGTAACAAATTACTAATAATATTCTACAATATACGTATACCGCCCTTGTTTTTTATTTACTTACCTTGTAAACGACGTGGAACTTCATCAAATATATGTTTTTCGCCTACCATGGGGCCGATTCTCGATTGCTAGGAACCTTTTCCGATAGGAATTTGTGACAAGCTCATTTTCGGCCCTTTTGACACAATATATACTATTTAGTGCTAACAAATATTGAAAATTCGCTAAAAAACATTCTAGAAACTATAAAAAATTTAAAAATATGCCCTGGGAATATAAAATCATACAAAATATACAAACAGAACTGACAGATCCCTAGTGTTGTTGACAGTTTGGAGAAAATTATGGCGCTACTATTTAAAATAGACGAATCACATCAAAGATCAAGGAGAAAGAGAAAGTAATAGAATAAACGGTTCATACTAGCTTCAAACAGATCCAGATAATTAGTTATATATTATTCATTTGTTTATCTGAGGTTATAGAGTTTAGAAGCAAACGAAAAACTCCATCGACGTGAAAAATTATTTTGAATTTGGTAGGTTAGGCGACATCTTCCACCACAGGGACAGTACAAGTTGTTTACCTCCTTCTCTGTACCTAACTCGAACTAGCAAGCAAAAAACGCGACATACCACTTTTTGCAATCATATGAGGGACTATTGGCAAAATTATATATTAGGGAATCATTGTTAACAAAATTTTATTTAAATTATCATTAATTACTAGGAAGATTAAAAACATAATAATGACAATTATACAGATACAAATATTTTTGTATTTATCAACTGATCAAGAAAGTTTAATATTTATGAATAAAATAATTTTTTTAATATTACATATTTCAAACTCTACCATCGTATTAATAAGAAATTTTGGCTGAACTGGTTTATACGGTGTCATCTTATTTATTTCCAGATGGGTAAAACTTCTGCAACAAGCCGAGGTATAAAGGAAGCATGCGACGACTGCGGAAATTGTTCAGATTTTACGACGACGGGAAAACTGCGGGCTCTTCTTCAGAAGAACTTCCTCAGGATGTGGAGGAACGTCGGAGTGATGTTGTTTATTTTTGCGCTGCCTGTGATGCAAGTTATTCTATTCTGTTTAGCTATCGGAGGTGACCCCAAAGGACTCAAATTAGCCATAGTTAATCATGAAAGGAACTTTACAAATTTGACCTACCAGGTAAATATATTTTGACTGTTGAAGATAAGACATTTTTCTATTAGCCACTCTAAAAATTTTGAGATACAGAAAAGCCACTAATGATCTTGACAATTTAATTAATGATGTTCAAAGTAATCTCCTCTAATATTTTGTGCGATATGGCCATCATATCCACTCCTGTTGCACAAATTACTATTTTCCATTGATTAGGGAAATAACCTTGTTCTAAACAACAGTTGATAATATGTGTAATATACGGTAAAATCTCACGACATACATAATTTAAGCATATCCAGGGAAATGTTATCGACTCTACTGGCATTCGATTTGACTTTAATAAGTGTTTTCAGAACAGAATCCACGTCTACAAGACTAAATTCAAAAATATTGTTATTATATTTAGTTGTACGGTAATAATCCGTTTTTTCACTACACTGGATATTGCTGTTTTGGAATACCGTTATAAATGCTTCATTTATTTTGAAGGGGGTCCAATAACTTGTGAAGTTTATCCTTGTTTCATGAAACTTGCATATTCATTGTTTTTAAAGTTTAAAGAATTTTGACTCTCCCTGTTTACTTATGCCAACGAAGCCCCTTCGTTAGCATTCGTGGGCGCGGTCTTTACGCAGCTTAGATACTTAGATGGAGACAATTAGGCATTATAAACAAAAGAACTATCGGTGGAAAGGGTTGTATATCTAAGGGGTTGCGACATACGACGTATTTTATCCTACAATACGTGAAATCATGAGTAATGGATTAAATTTAAAATATTTTATGATGAACACAATGAAAATATTATTTAAAAAAAAAAAATGTTCGTGGCAAGTTTTACAACTACTCTTTCTAATAAAAATATCGTGCAAGATTAAAAACTATGTCACAACCCCCTCAGATATACGAGCCCTACCCACTGGCTGCTATTGTTTTACAGGTGGTTGGAATGCATAAATACCAAATTCTTCTTTTATATCAATTTATGCAGTGTGTTATAAAGGAAATGCATAAAATTCATAGAAACCTCCATAGGTAACTAAATTTTGGTTAAAATGCAAAACATTTAAGACTAGACAGAAGGAGGTTAATCGGCATACCCGAAATACGGTTTATTGCAAGATTAAATACAGAAAATATTGTATTTATTTCCAAATAACTCTTGCATGCTTTAAGTGATAAATTATATAATTTTATCTATCTAATATGCAAATTAGGTATGACCAAATTCGATTTTTTTTTAATTATAACTAAATATAGCTTTAATAGCCAAATAAAACACAGTTAAAAGATTTTTTATTGTTATAAAATACAAGTATAAAGGGAGATTTAGGAATATACATGGTATTGCCTCATTCTTTAATTTTGGTATTCCACTTTTTATTTTCTGACTGTACCATTAGTAAAAATAATATTTGGAAATATCTTCTTAAAAGTTTAGGATTCTACAAAAAACATTTACAATGACAAAATTGGGGTTCAACAAAAAAATAATAGTACTCTTCATCTAACATTAAAACTCTGAAAAAACAAATTTTATTTTCAAGTAAGTTAAATGTAATGTGTAAAATTATTGCCGTTTGTGAGGATTTATGACTGTAAAATTTTATATTACATAAATTTGTAAAAAACTGTAAACTGTAAAATTCGGGTTTTCACTAGTTTACAATAAATATTATATTTAGAAAAAATAAATTAATTTATTTACACTAGGAGCTTTAAAAAGACTTTGAACTCATTTCATCTTGTGTTTTCTTTAGTTTTACATCTGATTTGTATCCCGTTTTATGACCTGGAACGAAGTAAATTTTGCTTTAATTTTTTTTGTCACTCATGTTACGAGTAGTTGTAGTACCTTTTTTCACATTATTTTGATTATTTTCACAAATTTCTTAAAAAAACACTTTATTTCACATTGACTTACATAGAAAATTAACGTATCTAATGTTCGACCCGCCAACTAAAGTCAATTTGGCAAACTTTATGAAAAGGATGGAAATTTGAAAGTTCATTGTCGATTCGCCTCCTTTTTTTAGTCTTCATATCGATAGCCATAACGCAGGACCTCGTAACTAACATTTTCACTGAAAATTATATTTTACTCCATCTACTGTATAGGAGAAGTATTGCAATTTTTGAACAAAACATGGGTAAATATTAGTCCTATTATATATTAAAATGGATTGTTCTATGCACTTGTGAATCGTCTTTTTATCTGCTGAAAAATTTCGATTTTGCAACTTACGAGGTCCTGCCTTGTGGCCCACGATGTGCAAAAACACATCAATTAGTCTTTATATATTTGTTTCGTGATCTATTTCACGAAACTAAGGACGTCATTAATATTTTTTAAATGGAACACGTGATATTTTATATTAAAAAAAGTTAGTCCCTTTAAATACAAATCCTAAATCTAATTAATAATAATTCTAATTTTTCCACATAATACGACACAGCTGTGTGCTGAGTTGCCTATTCTACAACCGGACAACCACAGTGAATATAATGATAAGTATGGTCAACGAGGGGTAGGCTTCACAACTATCCGAGAGGCTGAAGTAACAAATAAGTAGGGTAAAATAACAAATTTAAATATTTTGAAACAATAGATTCCAGAGTGTAATAAAATGATTGTAGATCAGTTTGAAAACAGTATAAATTGAACTTAAGTAAATAAAAATTAAAGTTACAATATGTTATAAGTAAAATATCTAATGAAGTAACTGATGTGATTATTACTGAACTAAAAATAAAATTAAATTAAGGTTAAATGAATTAAAAGGAATTGGTAGTTTATTTTTAATTTAACTATTGTGATTCCTAAAGAGTTTTAAATAAAGAGTTATAATTGCAGTTTAAATGGATTTGAGTGTTACGACAATTACCAAAATTCAGGCTCATCTATTGATTAAGTCCATTTTCATAAAGTTATTGACAGGAACACTGCGTAAAATTTTGCTGTTTGATGTAGGAGAGAAGCTATGGTTATTAAATTTAATGTGATTACCATAGTTGTATCTTTTTGGTCTAGATGGGTGTTTATTGATACGAGTCTGTAGATGTCCAATGGTTTTATCGATGTAGGTAACTTCACAATTTAATTGATAAACAACACTCCTAGATAACTTGTCAAATTTGTCCTCTGTTTTTGAAAATAATGATTCAATGGTGTTTTGAGTTTTAAACGAAATAGTTATACATTTCATCTTTCGTTTGACTTTAAATGATCAAAACTGTGTTCTGAATAGAATGTGTGAAATCCGTGCTGGAAACAAGTTCTGTGATTTACCAACGAATGCGTGAACTAAAATTATCGGTAAAGAAGGTATTGCCGCGTATATGATTTGAAATTTCGGCTTGTTTTTTAGTTCTCCATTTTCATCGTTATTAGATCGATTTGCGAATTGGTTTCAACGTGATTGTAATTGGTTTTTAATAGACTATTTGCTGGTATCCTTAAATAAATCATATTTTATTTTCTTATATTTTTTTAAACTTTTATATTGATGTTTACGTAATTAGCGCGTCATAATTCTGATTTATTTATAAAATGTATACCAAATTTTTTATCTATTATCCTTTTCAATTTCATTTGGGAATAAAATTAAATGCAAACTCTGACCTTAATTACTCGTAGTCTCTGAACTTTTGCAATGTTCTAGGGGGTGACGCTTGAACATGATCTGCCCGGGCGTGCCTCATAGTTTCTTTTAAATTTGACATACCATTTAAAACACAATCGACCTGGATGAAGTTTTTTCCCAAAATGGTTGTTGCAATCCCTCAATGTACTGATATTCACTTAAACCGATTATTAAATCACAGTAAATCACAACACCGTAATGTTCACGCGACAATTCCATTTCTTACTTTAAATATTTATTAATTACTGTGCTTGTTACAAGTTAAAATGTGATATATAAATACCAAAGCACATGTTACCTAATACTAACGTCTCTATTATTTACGCAGTATAGCTAGCTAATATTCTGTATCTCAAAATTCTTGGAGTGACCTCTCTTACCTTGAACATCGATTTGAAGTTTTTTGCCTTTGTGGTGCTAACCAATAAAAATTTTCTTGCAGCGGTGTGAATGGGAACCGGGATGTAAACTGATGGATTTGAGTTGTCGATATATAGATTCAATTAACACGTCAACGATAGTAAAACATTATTATCGGACACCAGAAGAAGCGAAAATGGCAGTTAGAACAGGCGAAGCATGGGGAGCATTATACTTTACAGAGAATTTTACTGATGCCCTAGTGGCTAGGATGGCTCTAGGTAAAGACGCTGATGAAGAAACGTTGGATCAGAGTGAAGTCAGAGTTTGGTTAGATATGTCAAGTAAGTAACTCAGATTTTGTTGAAATAGTTCACTTTATTATTAATATCGTAATTAATTTTATTTTTGTTTTTCAGATCAACAAATTGGTATTATACTGCAAAGGGATCTTCAGTTAGCATTTCAAAATTTCACAAAAGACATTTTTAGAGCGTGTGAGTATAATGAAGAACTGGCAGAGATACCGATATCATTTAAGAAGCCAATCTATGGGTCCAATCAGCCGTCTTTCACGGACTTCGTGGCGCCTGGTGTAATCTTAACGTAAGTTCCTTCATTTCAGCCCAAAGACCATCTATCATCATCTTATTTACTTATCTCATCCTTTACTGGCGATAATGTTGAGAAGTTCTACTGTACACGAAATCATTTTAAATATTTCTTGTTTAAAAATCAAGAACAGTAAACTGTCATATATATGAGAGACAAAGAATCTATTTCTCTTTTCCTCTGGCTGTCCTTCGCCTTTGTTCCCCATTTATTTTTAATTTAATGTTATAGTTGTATTTAGTACCGATATATACAATATCTTTTTGAAATGCTAAAATTTTAGTTTAACTCTTCGTATCGAACCTCATTTTTAGTACAACCGATTTTACATGCCTGTACACTGAAAGCAGTTATAAAAGTTGTTGTTTATTTTAATTTTCTAATGTTCCTTGACCTTATTCTTTACATTACTGTGTTCAATTTCAATGTATGTTACTAAAATTGTGTTATTTATTAGATAAATAATTGTTATATTCTTCCTTTTTGGCCTGATGATGTCCCTTGGGTCGAAACAGGTAGCCTCTATTTATATTTTGATTAGTAATAAAACATATTGGTGGTACTTATTTTGAGTATTTTTATTTTTGTTTAATCAACCTTAAGTTACTTCTAATTCTTTACTCATTGAGGTACCATGTAGTGTAAATTTTATTTATAATTAACCGATAGTAGCTTCGATCGAAGGCCTAAAAATGACCATTGTGGAAAGTGGGGGTTGCCTTTATTTAAAATCGTGTACTAATTTACTGTTTATCTTACCATTATTTATATGGGGTTTTCCAATAAGAAGTCCCATTTTAATTATAAAATAAATATTTATTTAAATTTAAAGTACAAACTCTGCGATTACTTGAGGAAAATGATATATTCATCTCGACTCCGGCTGCAAATGATCATTCTTTTAAGGACATTTCGCACAACTAGGGCTCTATCTGGCGAATAACAGCTCGAATATTGTTTTTGAGCGCTGAATTATTTTCGGGGCAAAAGTGTAGACTTTCTTTCGCGTAGCCCCAAAAAAAATATATGTCCGTATTGTCCAATATATGCCAAAGAAAGTTAGTTAGCATTCTACGATAGCAATCCTCATTGACTGTAATCGCGTTACCTTCATCGTTCTCGAAAAATTAATGTCCAACGATAGTGCCGATCTAAAAATCGCACCAAACAGTAACTCGTTGAGATAAAGAGGCTTCACGATCATTGTCCTAGGATGTTCGAAACTCCAGATGAGGCAGTTTAGTCTATTGATAAACCCAATAAGATGGGATTTGTCGTTAAAGATGATTTTGCTAAAAATTGTCTGCATTTCCAGCACCCAATAAACGATGATCATGATCAGCCGGCTTCAATATACTTCATCAGTTGCATTTTGCAGGCATAAAGGCTAAGATCTTTATGCAAAATGCGACGAAGACTGGTTGGTGAGATCCAGATTTGTGTGAATGTCTTGGGATAGAAAAACCTGGCTTTTCTGCGACACTTTCAGTGACAGCGACAATTTTGTGTTGATCAGATGATACCGAGTTTAAACTAGAAACTTGGACATTTTGCCTAAATTTTGCGATTAGGTTTATAATATCTTTGCGAAAAGATGATTTATACCGACCAAAACACCACGAATTCTGAAAACTTTCTTAGCAAAATTTGCAACATATCTTAAATAATTTTTTTTCATTATTTCCATATGTTGTTGTAGTGTGTATCGTCCATTTTATTAAATCATATAGTTTTGCTATTCAACAGATTAAACATGCATGACACGCAATTTAAAATTGGACTTTTTAATAGGAAATCTTTTATTTTATATTTTTCTTTTAAAGCCCAAACATTGCAATGCTTTTAAAAACATAACCTTTTTAAGTAAACGTTTAACTTGATTTTTATTTTTAGAATTGTCTTCTTTTTGGCCGTGGCTTTGACTTCATCAGCTCTGATTATAGAACGAATGGAAGGTCTACTGGATAGGTCTTGGGTAGCAGGTAAGATATATTATTATTTACTTAGAATTAATAATCATTTATATCATTATCATATGGAGACATAATTTATGATCGGAGATACTAATCTGCCTATTTCTAATTGGCATCCTATCCTTTTACGAGCTCAATATCTATGAACAAATTACCGACGTTTTTACGTCTACTCTAAAAGGCGACACACACTCTCTATTTCACCTGTAAAGTGTGATATGCAACTATACCGCATTATCTAGCAATTATTTCTGATCATCTTTATTTTTGTGGATAGAAAAAAATACCTACCAAGATTTAATGCAAAATTTAATAAACGTAGATCAAATTGTTCTGTAGAATGGCCCGTGGAGTGAGTTTACTTATATTTTACTTTCCTTGATATTAGACGACAAGCCAAAGATGTTAGTCTGAATCAAAAAATGTACAACTATTTATGAGAACAATTTTATTAGCTGCGTTACAAGCATAAATAGTTTATAGCAAGTCAGTTGGTTTTTAATTTTAGTTTAAAAAAATAACATGGATTAAGTTGATTAAATTTTACAACACAAGTATTAGGTACTTATATTAATCAAAAATTAAAATTATTTATCCAAACAATTTTAAATAAACATAACCTAAAACAATGGCCGGGTAACCGGCCGCTGCCAAAGGTATTCAAAACACCGATCACAAGTTCTCAGCAGTGATGGCCTTGCTATTATCTGAGTGGGTGACCGACTCGCAGGGCTCAGCAAATAATTACACGGTGGAATAGATAGGTGGAATGCATGAGTTGAATGAATGGGAAGAAGTAGGGCATCCAAATGGTAGTACAATAAACCGTTTAAGCTGCAGTGCTACCATGCGAACCTTAGGTGAGGTGTTTATCCCTGGAGAGTGTTTAAATATACTCGAAAAAAGATTTTAACTTTTAGTTTTGAATTAAATTCTTAGACAAGCCAACGATTCCACGTGGTTCAAATTTTATAAGTTACCTTAAGTCCTTTTTCGACTATTTTTAAACAACTCCGGTTCTTAAGATTTCGTTGGCCACAAAAGCCCTAATGGTATGCAGAAACATGGCGGGTAAACGATGGGGATGTAACCCAAACATACTGCGATGGATGTATACTGCAATAGTGAGACCAATCATCACTTACGGGGCTATAGCCTGGAGTAACAGAACTAGTTTAGTTACTACAAGAGCTAATATCTCAAAAGTACAAAGACTAGCCTGTGTTTGCATTACTGGTGCAATGAGAACCTATCCTACGGCCGCAATGGAGGTGATCTTAAACCTCACCCCTCTACATTTGATGATAGAGAATGTGGCAAAAAAGACACGATATAGAATGATCAGGAGCGGAGTAATCAGACGAATGTCTACTTGCTTCAGGACTAAAGATACCTGGGACATGCCCCAGGATGAAATGCAAAAGAAGTACAGTTTTGTGAAAAACTTCAAAACCACAGAGCTGGGCTGCAAGAAAGAATGGAGCCAAGAATCCATCGCGCTTGCAACCGAAAGACGTGCTATTCAGTGGTACTCGGACGGTTCCAAAACCATAGAAGGAACTGGAATAGGAGTGTATGGGCCGAGAACCAAGCACTCCGAAAGCTTGGGAAAATACCCAAGCATATTCCAGGCGGAAATTCACGCCATCGAGAAGTGTATCCAGTTTAACATCGAGAGAAACTATCATAGACAAGAGATTATCATCATGTCCGATAGTCAAGCAGCCATCAAAGCGCTGAGTTCTTACGTAATCAGCTCAAAAATGGTATGGAGATGCCTAGAACAATTGAATGAGCTAGGCGAGAAAAATAGAGTTACTCTCACTTGGGTCCCGGGACATAACGGGGTACAGGGTAACGAGATTGCAGATAGTCTTGCAAGGAAAGGGGCTTAAACACCCTTTGTAGGACCTGAGCCGTTCTGCGGTATCAGCAGTAACATAATATTAGAAGAGATTAAAAAAGAATTGGGTAGTAGAAGAACCGATAATTGGAACAATCTCTTGGGGCTGAGACAGGCCAAGATACTTCTGGGTGAATATAACCAAAAAAGATCGGAAGCCTGCATCTGCCTGAGCAAGAACAGGCTACGTATTGTAACAGGGATCCTTACCGGGCACTGCCGACTAAAAGGACACCTAAGTAAACGGAGAGTAGTAGAGGATAGTGAGTGCAGATTCTGTGAGGAGGAGGACGAAACCTCCATTCACATCCTAACTGAATGTGTAGCACTCCAGAATCCAAGGGCACTATATCTAGGAGGATATCAAATAGAAGAGGGAGACTTACCTAACTTGAAGCCACTTCAAATCCTACACTTCCTTGAGAAAATAGGACAATACTGAAAAAATATCAAAGATTATTCGTTGTAATCTAGGAGGAGCAGAACAAAGAGGTTTTTTGCAAATGGATTCTAATGGTTTGTGATCAGTCTGAATTATTAATTTCTTTCCAAAAATATATGAATGGAATTTTTGACAAGCAAAACGAATAGCTAGAGCTTCTTTCTCAATTGGTGGAAAGTTTCGTTGAGAATCAGTGAAGGATTTCGAAAAATAAGCAACTGGTTTATTATCTTGCAATAATACTGCACCCGCTGATTTTTCGCTAGCATCTGATTGTATGGTGACATCTGCATTAACGTCATAATACTTAAGAATGGATGGAGATATAAGCAGTTCCTTGATTTTTGAAAAAGCTTGTTCCTGTTCGTAGTCCCATTTAAAGCAAACATTGTTTTTTATAAGTTCACGTATCGGTGCTGTTAACTCAGACAGATTTGGAATAAATTTGGCAAGATAATTCACCATTCCTAGAAGTCTTTGGACTTGCTTTTTTGATGAAGGAATCTCCAAATGTTTGATAGCTTCTACCTTCTCTTCGTCAACCCCTAGACCTGAATTGGTAAACAGATGCCCTAGAAATTTTATTGTATCTTTGCAAAAAGTGCACTTGTCTTTATTTAGTTTTATACCAGATTGATTTAGTTTTTTGATAACCAGGACTGTGATCTGCATATTTTTTTCCTTTGTTTCGGCATATATCAGTATGTCATCCATGGAATTTTCAACGTTTGGTATATCCTTCAATACGTTAGCCAGTAACTATTGAAAAATTTCTGGTGCGAAACACAGTCCAAAAGGTAGCCTTCTATAGCAATATCTACCCCAAGGAGTACTAAATGTTAGGTATTTTTCTGATTCTGGGGCAATTTTGATTTGCCAGAAACCCTTTACACAGTCCAAAAGTGTGAAATATTTTGCACCTTGAACTCTGCTAGCAATTTCTCCCACTGTTTTTAAAGGATAATGCCGCCTAAGTATTTGTTTATTGAGTTCTGAAGGATCAAGACAAATTCTTAGCTTGTTCTTTTGTTTTACTATTATCATAGGGCTGGCAATTGGTGTAGGTTCATTAATTCTTCGAACCACTCCTAATTTAATCATATTTTCAAGTTCTGACTTTACTTGGTTTCTTATAGCATGTGGTATTACTCGGGAAGGACGAATTTGAAATTCCGCATTCGGTCTGATATCTATTTTGTATTCAGTCATTTATGCATCCTAACCGTTTGAATATTTGATGATTTTCATTGATTTGAATACTATTAATTTGAGATGTTCATGCTACTAGATTTTGCTTGACACAAGTGTGTTTTCCAATCGCCGGTAAGATGTTTTCTTTCACTACTTTAAAAAGTATTTTCATTTTCTTGTCGTCGATGACGCAAGGCAGTGTAATCTCGCCAATAACCTCGGACTTTGCATTATTGAACCCTTTTAACATTTTGGTACCCGAAGTTTTAATATTTTTGCTGGGATCTCTGATTAACTTTTCAGATATGACATTACATTCGGCACCAGTGTCAAAAATGACGTTTATTAGCTGACGACCTATTTTGATAGTTTCAATGAAATCTTCTTTCTTAGTTTTTGTTGCCCTGATCTCTGAGCATTTTAGGATGACATTGACAAAAAAGTCTTCATCTGAAGTGTCTTGAGATGAGGATCGGGTGAAATCAGATATTTCACTGTCTGTATCAATCACTTTCACTCTCGTTCTCGTTTCTCTCTTCCGGCCATGTTTAATTTGTTCCGATTTCTGTCTCTTTCTGCAACATTTGGTGAAATGTCCGATATTATTACAAATTCTGCATCTTTTCCCAAAGGCAGGACATTGTTTACGACCATGGGTTGTGTCGCAACGTCTGCACTCAAAAGTTTCAGAGGAAGTCGAAGGACTCGTTTGGCACTTTTTGTAGTTTTTGATAGCATTAACATTAATTATATTTTCATTTTTTAACGTTTCCATTTGCTTGCTTCTAATTTCGCTATTTCTACATAAAGTAAGCGTCTGTGCTAAACTTGGTTCATCCATAGATAATAGTTTCTCTCTTAGATTTTCATTTCGTATACCTATGATTATTTTATCTTTTAATATTCTTTCTTCCATGTCTTTAAATTCACACTTTTTAACTTGTGTTTCTATTTTGGTGAAGAAGCAATTGAAGGTTTCATTTTCTTCTTGAGCCATTCTATTGAAAATCATTGTTTCATAAGCAGTATTTATTTTTGGCACGAATAACTCTTTAAAGGCTAGCTTAAGATCAGTCACTGAGGCTTTTTTTTCGATAGGCCAGTTGTTAAATGTTTCAAACCATTCAGTTCCTACTGTCATCATAAATGTAGATATTTGTTGATCTACATCCCTCTTGTGCAACTGTGTCACTTTTTCGTACATATCAAAATGTTGTACCCATTTATTTCAATCTTTTGCTGGATCATTCTCTATTCTGAATGCTTTCAGAGGGTCGATAACTGGGATCGCTTGTGTTGCTACTGTTTTGGATGCAATCATTTGGCGATTCATTATGGTTAATTCTTCGATTTGCTCACGCAATTTATCAATTTCCTTTTTAGTTTCATCATTCATTTTGGGGATCCCACTTCTGACACCATGTAATATTATATTATTAAAAATAATATACGAATTCAAGTAATGAGTATTTTATTTGACAGCGTTCACAACTGACTTCTAACAACATTCTCTTGTTTAAGCCTGCTGCTACAGACTATAATATAGAAATATTTTAAAAGTACACCTTTTTCAAATCCTCAAATCCTTTCTTTAAAATTTATTTGCGTGTCTATAACACAAATTGAAATATCGTGTAATTACGCACTAATGGGACAACTAATTTTAATTGTTATCATGTATTAATTGGTTCGGTACTTATAGACGAATAATATGATTATCTGAAGTAAAATTGTTTACAACCCAAACACCCTTGATACAACTGAGTTTTATGCAAGTATTATGGAGTAAAAATACAATAACTAACCACTTAAACTATCTACCCATTACAAGAAGAAAACAACAGAATAACGTTGTAAACATTTGTATATTTATTCTATTGGGTACTTATGCACGCGAATAATAAAAAGTATAGTAGTTTTGTATTACTAATTTACTTCTAATTGCCTAATTAAACGTACAAATAAAGGTTTTCTTAGAAAACTAAAGCCCCTTAGTAAAAGGTATTAAGGATTCCGATGCGTTGTTAAAGCTAATGTTAACCTACTTTCAGTATTCTTATTCGCTCCGTGCGCGACAGCAGCGCCAATTTGATTTGGTATTAAAGGGCTATTTCTGCCTATACTGACAAATCCAAATTTTATTAGAATTCGTAAATAAAAAGTATATATGTTAGTTTTAATAAAAGTATATGGATTTGTAAAACAAGTAAAACATTAATTTATTGTTATTATATATTTTTCCCGCTTAAATTAAAGAAAATTATGTATAATCAATAAAAATCAATAATAAAATATAGGCAGGCAACAGTATTTACTGGAAAATGTATGAGAAGTTGCCTAAGTCTAATAAGTTGTCATTGAAGAATTAGCCTATTCTGCCAAAATAAAAAAAATTACCATTTAATAATAGCGTGAAGTTAAAATGTATAAAAAAGGATCGTTATTTATATTTTCATTTTTGTTCGAAAGAAAACAGAGTAAATGATTAAAACTGGTTTCCCATCAGTAAGTCACAAAATTGCAGTCCGGCCACATATAATAATCAAAGGCAGAACTCTTGAAATCTAGTCCTTGCTAAATGAACATTTAAGAATAAAGGGATATTAAAGAACATCGTAAAATTATAATTTATTGTTTATTTAAAACCTTTCAAGTTTCTGATGTCTACTATTTCCAGCATTACTGTTATTATCACAAAAATAAAGGTAATTTTTCTTCTTATTGTACACCTATCCATTTATTTCTTTGATTTAATTTCCACTTTGCTAGTGAAATTTTTTATATAAGTTTCACTGTTTTTTTTGCTAGTATTTGTACAATTTTCAACACAGCAACTCCGGTTGCTTATTGCATTGTTTTTATCTTCTTTTTTGAAAAAAAGTAAAAAGTATACACGTGTGTATTTGATATGCCAAAATTACAAAATATCGCCCTAAAATGCACGAATTATCCGCAGCTAGCGCTAGTATCGCTTTTGCTTCCCTTTCCATGACTTCGCACGGAGCGAATAGCCAATTTAAGGATAATCGTCAGTGTTTAAAATGTTTTAAACATTGCCAGGAGAAATCCTCTATTTTAAATTAAATTAATTTTGTGAAACTTGTTTTATTTATATTTACTTTTTAATTTTTCAGGTGTGACTCCAGGAGAAATTCTCTTCTCCCACGTGGTCACCCAATTCGTAGTGATGTGTGGTCAAACAACGCTCGTACTAATATTCATGATCCTTGTCTTCAAAGTTGAGTGCAGAGGTGACATTATTCTCGTTATCATCATCACAATTCTCCAAGGACTTTGCGGCATGTGCTTCGGTTTCGTTATTTCGGCAATTTGCGAGTTGGAAAGGAACGCCATACAACTGGCGCTTGGAAGTTTCTATCCAACTCTGTTGCTGAGCGGTGTAATATGGCCGATAGAAGGCATGCCTACTATTTTAAGATATATCTCTACATTTTTACCGCTGACTTTAGCCACCACATCGCTAAGGTCCATGATGACAAGGGGATGGGGCTTGAGCGAGCCCGACGTTTACTACGGATTTATAGCGACAATAATTTGGATAGGTGCGTTCTTGACAATAAGTTTAGTGGTGTTGAAAGCTAAGAGGGGTTGAAGTTCAGGTTTCTAGTCCAGTCGACAGGGAATAGAGTTGGAAAAAATCCCGGGAAAAGGTCTTGTTGAGTTTCTAAATATAAATAACTAACCAAATGATATTGTTTGAAATTGATGTAACAACTGTTGTGAGTAATAATAAATTAGTTACAGTAGTTGAATGTTTGTGGCTTTATGTTACAATATGCCAAATCCTTTTCCAGCTATGTGAATACGTTTCTATTACACTTAATATTTTTATTAATTATATCTTTAGATAAAGACAGTATGTTTTAAGAATTAAAATAAAATGGTAGGTATTTAATATTCTTAGTTATAAATAATTGTAAGTTTAACACATGTTTGTTAAATTGTATTTTAGCAATTTTAAATCATTAACAAGAAATGTTTTTCTTTTTGGTTCTTTTATTGTGTTTTCTTGATTTTAACTTGTATGGCTTTAGTTGACATTTTTTAAGATCTCAATATAGAGCAACATCTGAAATTAACCATTAACCATTCACTCATGCTAGTATGATTTCTTACATATTTCAATAATATTTTTAGTTCAAACTCAATCTTAAGAACAACTGTCTATATTTGAGGTAGCTATTTATAAAACTAAGTTTGATTATGGCATTTTTTACAATGTCATCTTCAGAATTGTTTAATTATAATAGAAACTTAAAATATGTGTAAATAGTGATTATGAGAGGACAATAGATCATATACTGAGGTAATTATATTCATATTCTTTCATTTGTATGATAATTTTGGCTAATAAAAGCAAGTGACAAATAACAATATCCTACAAAAAAAAAGTTTTTCAGTTTCACTAAACATTTTTAATTAAATAGGTAATTAAAAAATATAAAAAAAGTTTTTGGAGATAGGTACCTAATAATAAAAACAAGCCTTGTGTTATTTTTGGACTCTTATAACCAGCGAAATTAATAAAAACTTTTTCCTGTGATTTTTTCCATCGAAATGTACATAACACACTCTCTTGACTGGAATATTTATTTAGTAGACAATTTTGGGAAATTTTAAACCTACAATATTTTTGTGTAATACATCGATCGAAAAAAAAAATGTTAGAAAGGTAGGTATAAAAATTTGTATTCCAGTAACTTTCAGCGAAAACTTTAAACAAGTTTTACACGCTTTATTTATGTTAGATACTACTTGCCCCTAAAATAACATTAATTGTTTTTAGAATTAGAATTAAATTAAATTCTTTTTGTATTATTTTTTACTTATTGCACGTATTGTCTTTGATAACTATTTAGAAAAGTATTCGGGGTTCGAAATTTTAGATTTTTTAATCTAAAGACTTATTTATTGTTGACGTCCTTTTTTTTATGGGAAATATTATAGATAAACGGCTCCGTTATCGTAAATATTTCTAAATAATTTCAAAGACATATGAATTGCATAGTTATAAAAGTGCTCAAACTTAATTTTCATATTGTTATAAGTGGTATTGTGATGTATGTTTTGTTATATAGTAGGTATACCAACAATAAAGTCTTTTAAAATTAATTTTTACTTATTTATAAGTGTTTTTAAACATTACCTCATCATGTATAGCAATTTCACAAAACAACTAAAATTTGGTCAAACACAAATGCTTGTCAATCTATAACATCAATGTTCTATGAATATACTAAACGTTCTGTACTCCGAGCAATTACTAATAGAGGGAGCGTGAATACGAGTTTGTAGGCGAGTGTTGTGTTAACAACATCTGTAGAGGAAGTGAGGAAGCGGGCACAAGGGGGAAGGTAAACATCCTTCTTGTTCAGTGGCGTATCATTTATCTATAAAAACACACATTGTCCAAACGTTTTATTTGTAAAAAAAACTAAAAATTTTCTAATTTTACTATTTTTAAAATGAATACCGTCTTATATGTGTCTAATACAGGAAATGGAACAAAATCACTGTAAAGGTCTAATTTTTTCAATTAAAGAATAAAACCTTAAAGTCAATTTTATTATAAATAAATACAGGAGCATCTTCAGGCCTGTAATACAATAATCTTTAATTATTATAATAGGTTGGTCACTTACGAATAACATTAAATAGTATAAACCACAAAAATGGATCCATATTGTAGCGTTACAGCATTATACAAGTAAAGCTGTGAAAATAAAAGAGCAGTGTAAACGTAACTAAAAATAAGAAAACTGAGTACGAAATCTACAAGAGAAGAGGTGAGTGAGCAATTACGAATGCATTTAAATTGCTCGGGATAACAAATAAAGCTGATAATGTAGTGGTATAGTCCCCGTCTGTATATGTTAAAAAGGACGGCGTGTTCTCTGTAAATCTGGAGAATGTAAGGATGGAGGGAAGACGAATCTTGCTGGCTCAGGTGTAGATGGCTAGAAAAAGGAGCGTGTAGATGAAAGCTCCAGTAAATATCGTCACTTTCGTCTAATTTTTTATTCTCACTCACCGTTTCGACTTTATCTTTGAAATTCATTTTTAAAAGGAAATAAAAGTAATCATTCATACAAGCATATAATAAAACAACATGAATTGATTATATTTAATAAGCTAATAAACGTTTGTTTCAATGAAAAAAACATATGTGAATATAAAAAATAAATAAATAGATAAGATTAATATCAAAATCAATTTGAAAATACAACAGATAATAAAATGAAATAAATTAATACAAGTACAAATAGAAAGTTAATAACATACCTTCTAAAAGTAACACATTTTAAGTAGATAAATGTTTAAAGAGTTTATTCCTGAACATAACTAATGCAACGTTTTCCCCCTTTTTAATATTATGAGGGTTTTTGTAATTGAAATGAAAATTATAATTTATTTTGGTCCTAATAAAAATTTAAACATAGGTTATCAAAGAGTAAAATACATAATAGAACTTCATAATCTTAAATCGTTATCAAAAATTATTAATGGTAAAACTTCAAACAATAGATTCTTAAACAAATTTCTAGTTTTTGTTTTGCAAAAGACTTTTTTGCCTTCTTCGGTTGCCTCTGCCACTTTTCTTTTAGTAGTTTCGATGAAAATTTTTCTATGGAAACCAGTAGAACCATCAATTGGTTGGTAAAATTTTGATATTTTGGGTCTGGTAAGTCTTGTTAAACTTTCTTCTTAGGAAGTTGTAACCTTATGGAGAATAAAAATTTAATGTTAGATCAAAAGCTCTTAATTGAGAATTATATTTGCAAAGGCCGTTTTAATACTTTTTTCAGGAGTTCTTGGAATCGTTGTTAACAGAAACCTGCAAAAAATATATCATTTTATTCCTAAAATATAAGATATCACACAATGCACATTCATATAATATCATTGTGCTAGAAAAATACTAGGTAGGTACTGAGACATTTTAAAAAAAGTATTTCGAGAAACTCAACTTTTAATGTCATCATTGTACTTAACTTTTTTATTGCTAAATTATTAATAATGCACGGAAAAAAAATTGTAGAACAAATTTCTACAATTGTAGATTTTTTCTCTACAATAAATAGTACATATAGGGACAGGGACAATTTGTAGTAAAAATTTCCAAATATTTGTGGAGAATGTATTGTAGAGTTATTATCTACAATATTTAGTAAAAATATCCAAATGCATCAAAAGAATTGTTCTACAAATTGTTATAATTTTTGCTATTCATTGTATGAATTTATATTAAATATGTATTGCGTTTTATGAAAATAAATACGAAAATTTTACACAATAAATAGTAAAAATTCATACAAATTGTAGTAATTTTTAATAAAATTTGTAGTAGTATTCCATAATTATTATAATTATAACCTAGAAAAAAATGTTGCTTAATAAAATATTCAATTTATTGTTTTAATATAAAAGATACAAATTCTTAATTACATTATGTAATAAATAACAGTAATAATAGCGCCCTCAGTCTCAGTTGGCTTTTCTGCACCTGAAAAATATGAAATAAAAATTAATACCAATTGAACTGTTCATACCCTTAAAACGGGGATATTTATCACCTTTACACTGATTTGGATATTAAATGACTAAGTCAGATAACTAACAAAAATATGAAAGTAGGTATGTCACAATTAAGACAAAAAAATATCATTGAACTTGGCACAAAATTCGATCGTTGGGCACAACATTCGATCGTTGGCCACAACTATTTTTTTAAAATAATCTACTAAGGTTATTTAAATTAGTTATCTAAAGGTAAATTATTCAGAAACAATGTTAAATGTACTTACCACCAATAGAATTTATTATTAAAATTTTCTCAAACGCATCGGTGCTTATAATATAATAATGTGTTATAGGTACTCGTATATGTACCATGCTTTGTTATGTGAACATGGCGAACGGCTACTGCTGTCTGACCGTTTATGATCGACGTCAGAAAACGTTGGCCAATAGCAGAATTTTGTTTTGTTCACATGACTAAGAATTTCTACAATATTGTAGAATATTTTTCAACAAAATTGAAAGTTTATTATAAGAAGGGATGTAAAGTATTACTATTTTTTGTAGAGAAAATTACTATTTTTTGTAGAGAAAATTACTATTTTTTGTAGAGATAATTATTAATATTTGTACAAATTTTTACAGAAGTTAGTAGTAGTAATTACGATAATTGTAATAAATTTCTACTTCTACAAACAATAGTAAAATATACTAAACATTGTGGACTTCTTTCCTATTGTTGTAGCATTTTATTCGACAATTCAATTGCTACAATAATTAATAGTTTTTAACTATAAATTGTAGTAAAATTTTCTACAAATTGTTAAGTATTTTTCTACAAGTCTACTACTACAACATTGTAGTAAAATTTTCTAGTCACATTTTTTTCCGTGTGTCATTTTGTGTAGTTTGTTGTGATTTGTATAATATATATTATAAAAACCTATCGTCAATGTTAATGTGCCAAGTTTTTTTAATAATTATGTCCTTGTTATTGTAAAAACACATTTTTATAGTTTTCTGGATTTCTGCTTTAAATTATCGTACAATTGAACTGACTAATTGTGTGTTTAAGTAAAGGTAAGTTTTTTTTTTGTTATAACAGTCTTTGTATATTGTTCTAACTTTTTAGATAATCAGAGAAAACAGTAAGACATCTTGATATATCCTATTTCACCAACAAACATGTAGAATAATTAATCTCACATCAAACGAAAAAAGTCATTTTAAGATGTCCTAATAGGTTTTGACTTGAAAACGAAATAAAATGTTTATTGCAACTGCGTTTAAATAAATTAATGTTTTTATACCTGACTATAGCACCAGACAAACTTTTTTTAGATCATAATGATCTGCATAACTCAAAATAGTCAAAATCCACATTATCTGAGAAAAGCTTAGAAAAACAAAACGCAGAGAATCACAAACATTTATTGTTAAATTTGTTTTAAGTTTAGAAATATCTATTCAACAATAGATACCACTGAGTTAAAAATAAAGCTATCTAGTGACCAAGTCATTAATTATGACACGTACCGTTTGTTGGCAACGAGAAAAGAAAATAAATATACCCTTTCATACAATTCCCATTGATTGTGTTGAGCGTAGTTTAAAATAACAAATAACCACAAATGGTTTAAAACATGCTTTATTTATCGTCAATGTTTTCACGAAATATGTAATTCTATACCCTTTAAAAAAAACATTAACCAGAGCAGAAATGACTAAAACATTAGAGAATTTTAAAACGATTAACCATATATAGTAAAACATTTTCAAATGGCTCCTCGGTCGAGATTTTCTAGCGATTGAAAGCGTAGAACGATAATAGACGTGTCGTGAGTTCGATCTCTGCTAAAGTCAATCGATTTTTAATGAATAAAAAAAAATGGCGTATAAGCGGTTGCGAAAATAATAAATTATTAATAATATAAAATAGCGTGGCGAGTTTCCGTTGTGTAAAAAAAGTGGGGATGTGATCTCAATGGAATGTAATCCAGGATTGTATTTTTTTTTTAATGTTTAGTATTCAACGCCCAAATGTAATTCAAAATTGGATGTCCTCTGAATGGTCGAAACTGTGCCATTTATATACTTCACTGGAGGTCCATTGAATGTCGGAAGTCCAGAAAAAACTCATTTTTGGACGTCCAGGCATCCAAAATTGTATATTGAATGAACGTCCAATAGACATATTTGCATGTATTAGCATATACTACGTTTTATGTATACCACCTAATTGTAGAATAGAATAATGTTTATTTATCAAAAGATAATAAGTACAGAAAGTAACGTAGATACATTATAAGGTTAGAAAGTAGTTTTAGCAATTTAAAAACAAAACATGAAAAATTAACAAATTAAAAAAAATTCGTTAGGAAAAATCAGTGGGTTTTTGAATATCAAATTAAATAATATAGTTTCGAAATAAACAAAAAATAACATAAAAAACGAATTGTGTTTATATAAACATGATTCTTCATTTTTTTTTGAACACGTTTACACTTGATCTTGTTTTAACGTCATCATCAGGCAAAATATTAAACTGAACTATACCCTTATGAAATAAACTTTTCATGGAGCTGGTTTTGTTACATGAATTCACATAAAAATTTATAGAATTTGCCGTTCCAGTGTTACGCCCGTGAATATTTGCAACTGGTACAAGCTGACATTTTAAATATTCAGGTAACATATTGTTAACAATTTTAAAAAATAAATATCATCGTATGAATATAAAGTAGATGTTCAATTTTTATCCAATTTAAAGAATCCAACATTAACTGTGAACTAGTAAAACGATTGCATCCCAAAATTGCCCGCATTGCCTTATTCTGAAGGATTTGTAACCTATCAAAATTAGAACTCCCTGTATAAATAATAGTACTACAGTAATAGAAATGAGGTATTATTATAGATGGTTTGTCTAGTCGATGTAGATAGTGATACCCTTCTCATATAACCAACTTTCTTACCAATTTTGTTAGACATATAACCAATGTGCTTGGAGGCCGTACCTTAACCCATTTTAAAATAAACCATTCACACAATAATATCTCTCTTTATAATTTAAATAAACAGTAAGTAATTTGAAATTTTATGAAAATCATTACATTATTTTGTGTTGCTGTTTTGTGGCTTTTAAAAAATCAAACTACCGATATTATAAAAACTGACAACGGTGGAAAATAGTTTAAAAATAAAAATATAAATACCACTAAATAATAATAAAATATTAGTTTCTTTAAAAAACTAATGTACGAATCGCAGCAGAATATTTTGTCACCTTGATTTGTTATTCTGTGACGCCACACCCCCGTTACCACCAACCTGATGAGGCCACAATTTCAGTCTACAAACCGTGGTTAAGGAAAAGGACTCTAATGTCAAAACTTCAGGTTTCGTCAAATATCAAGACTAGGTTTGCAATAAATTTTATTTTAGCATGCAATTTGTCACTATTAGTGGCGGACGGTATAGAAATTTGTAATATATCTCTAATATCTATTGCGTATTCTATATTTACATTTTTATTTTGAGGGTCTTGAAACAAAGGGAATGGTGATAGGTGCGTGTGAAGTCGAAATGATAAAAGGATCAGAAAAACAATACCATCTCAGCGATTGCTGTATAATAATAATAATTATTCTTAGTGTAAATCGTTTTAAATAGGATAAACATATAATATAAGGCAATATTTGGGCAATAAATACACATGTAAGGTACTAAAAATCAAAAATTTCATAAAAATTCGTTGATTTTAAATTTACCTAAAACATAAATTTGGATTTTTAAAATATTAAATGTTCTAAAACTATTAATCGGCTCTATATTTTTCATCATCAAGAAACCAGTCTCTTTTGTTTAGCAACTTTTCATTCCAAAAGTTAATTAAATCCTCTAATTTTCCATCGGTACCGCCATATTCTTCAGGAAGAATATCTTTGTCAACAATTTGATGTAAACTTTCCAATCCTTTAGTGTGAACTTTGACTGTCTTCTTCATTTTTTCATTCATAAAGCTCTTAAATATATTTAATATTACATTAAGGTAAATAGGGGAATTTACAAAATCGAGGCTTTTAGAAGTAACATGGTAATTTTGCCAGGCAGTTACTGCTCTCTTGACGATGCCTGGAGTAAGTGCTGCAGCATGCCTTGCACCGACGCCATTCATATCAAAAACTGATATAACGCCATAAATTTGGGCTGCTTCAAATTCAAATAGAGCTGCTATGTCCAAAATCATATGATCGACTTTAAAAACGTTATCTTGGCTGTGTTTTCTGGGATTATGTGCGGCTGTTCTGACGAGAATCACGAGTTGATTATGATACAACTTTCTCAAGGGAACGAATACTCCTAATTTGATTATTTCTTGCAATTCTGGCAAAGAAGGATCCCTGTTTGTGAACCATTTTACGTCATCTCTTCTTAAAATGTAATAACTTATTATTTTGGATTTTGCTTCTTCTAAATCGAATTTAGCTCCCCTCAAAAACGGTAATATATACCTGGAAATAAAAATAAGTATATAATAAATTGTTTTTATATATTTTACAGTCAATATTTTAAATAACACAAGTTTTATTAATGTTGTTGTGTGTAAAGTAAAAGCAATAAAATATACCAATCGCCTTCTGAAATATAGTAAGCCTTAGTCAGAATAGGAGCGTCGCGATGCAATAGCGTTGCTTCGAGCGACACATCATCAATAAAACAACCTAGTGGTATGATACGCAAACGTTTAGAGTGAAAGCGATTTACAATTAAAAATAAGATGTATGTAAAAAAAAAATAAAACTTATTAAGTGATAGTAAGACAATTAAAACTGAAAATGAACTCACACATATAATGTGTTCCATCCAATATGCCAGTGGCGTGCCCTTAAATGTTCAACCATACCAAAATTCCTAACGAGTGATACAACTGCAACAAAACACAACAAATGATGTATCCTCAGTAAATGAATTTCAGTAGTATGATGCCCCAACAACCAGCCCTGGTTTTATGACTGAAACAAACACGCAGCCAATCTACATAAGCCCAATTCCATCTATGTCAAGCAAACCAATATAGCCAGCAGCATATCCAACAAATAGAAAGAATGTCATCAACCAGTGAAGAAGAACAAGATGAAGCAGAAGATCCAAACAAAATACCACGGCAACAAGTGAGAAGTACTAAATGCAAGAAGTACACAAGGGCTTCCGAGAAACAGTGACACACCAACCAGTAACAAATACAGCTCAATAGAAATTGTAGATAACCAAGTACCAGCTCATTGAAAAATACTTCTAAAAAAAATTAATTATCCCCGTATTTGTTTATGGAGTAACGGACTATCCTAAGATCGTAATATAATTACAAGACTGTCTAGAAGATGAACAGCACAATACTAAAAGTATAGTTTACTACTAAAAGTATAGCTTAGCTTAAAAGAAAACTACCGAAAATTGATTAGATATCTCAAGGATGTAAATATAATACACCACACCCATTAACTAAAAGATCAAAGAACATACACCCATCTAGCACATGAAGTTGCCAAGACTTTTGGCAATGTTGTTTTAAGGGAACGTAATAACATTACTACACAACGTAAATGCAACGTTCATGAGAGGTTGTTGAGGGAAATCAAAACCTCGCAAAACTTCTATTTTTTACTTACGTATTTAACCTACCTGTTATGATAACAACGTAATAAAGTAATTTGCTAAAAAGTATCCACGAGAAGTACTGTGAACATCATATTCTTTTCGAACGTAGCCATTTGTATGTCATAAGTCATAACAAAACCAACAGAACATAAAAAATTATCACTTTTTCTTGTGGTATGTATTTGAGATATTAAAGAATGTGTAAACTATTTATACGTTTAAATGAGTTTAGTAAGTTATTTTCTTCTTTTCAATAAAATAGAAATATACTTTCTAATTTATTGTCCGTTGTTTTAGATTGCAATATTTCAGTTTCCAACTACAATAAAAAATAAATAATTGTAAACGAGAAGATACAATAAAATAAATGACCTACATTTTACACGATAATAGGGATCTTATCCATGTCTCGATACTATAGAAGTAACGATATTAAACAATGAAAGTATCGACATTTAGGCATTGACACTAAATTACCAATACTATCGCCGTATCGATACTTAGAAACAAGTATCGTATCGCTATGTGTGTGAGTGTGGACAGGGTCACCTAGGGTAATATAAGGTTTGTTCAAATATGCGTGAAAACCGTAATATTACGATACAAATCATATTATAGTTTCTGCTTGTGGTGGAACTTGGAACAGATCTTAATATAATTATGCGTTACCACTGTTTTTTTTGTAATTTAATTATAAGGTAAATTGTCAATTATTGACACTATAACTTATACCAGTAGCAGGTCTGATTTTTTTTCTTTCATAGCAGAATATCTTGGCTTGGCTTGGAAACCAGATATAATTTGCTAAATACAGTAATTATTTCAACTTTTTGTATAATATTGTTGGTCTAAAAGACATGCCCAGAAATGAGCTACTGGCTCATTGCAAAGATTTGGAAGTAGTTTTAACTGATGAAAATTCAAGCGATCTTAACGCCCTACAAAAGAACCTATAAACCTATTTTTCGTTGACCTCGAGCCAGTAACCAATAACAAGGAAGTATATAAAATAGATCGATTAAAAAATGTATATATCAAAAAAAAACCAAGAGTAATATTGTGCAATGCATGAGGTGCCAATTAGGTAATTCAAAGATATATTGCAATAGGCTATAGTGTGCATCAATCTTTATAAATACCGTACAAATACCACAAATACAAACAGTAAAATACCTGCATATTTAAATTGCTAATAAACTAACATGGAAACAACACAAATCATCTAAACAGTAGAAATCAAAGCAAGATAATTACGAGTACAATGGTTAAAATGAAGAAAATCTCGATTGTCAATAGAAAAAAAAGTAATAATCTACAAACTTGTCATCAAATCCATCTGGAAATATGGACTGGAATTGTAGGGTTGTGCCCTCAAGACAAACTTAGTCAAAGAAGCAAGTCGAAGTTACTACGGCAAATTGCAGACGCCCCCTGGTACGTAACCATACGCTGCATGTAGATCTCTATGTATCAACAGTTGCGGAAGTTATCCATGAGAAGGCTGCCAAATACCCCGAAACTGTGGAAACACACCCAAACTCACTAATAGAACAGCTAATGGAACCACTAAATAACAGAAGGGTGAAAAAACTTGTGAATCAAATTAAATTAAAATTAATATAGGTAATATCATTGGATATAAACCTAATCATCTTCCACTTACTAGTTTAACTGGTATTTTAGCTTATAGAATTTTGTAACATTCTGATTGCTAAATAAAGTACTATAAAAATAATATTTTCAAGGACCACGCGAGGTGAGAATTTTTTGAGAATATTTTGTTGTTTCCTTACAAATTATACAAATTTTACATAACAAAATCCTCCCGAAATACTATTTGACTGATGTCTTATGATATTTTAAGAAGGATTTGGTTTCCTGAAATTAAGACGCATAATCTACAAGGAAACAAGAAAAAGTTCTCACCTTTTGTGGTATTACATCTTCGGGTATTATCTTTTTTTTGTGTTTTGCCCTTCGGATCCCCCCCTAATTACCCTAATCCATTTATATCTTGGCGTCACTGCAGCTTGTGGCTTATCATAGCACCATTTGAAGGTCCTACTACTTTCCTATTCATCATCCACTCATTCACTGTCATTCATTTTACATCGCTAAGTCCCACAGTGGCACGGCCCATGATGAACCGTTCCAGCCGTCACACATTCACGACGTGATCGAAGACATCAATGTTTAACTGCCGGGTATTAACCTTGACTATATCCCTAGACCAAATATCAGCGACTATTTCTCTAGAAAAATAGTCAATATTTGGTCTAGTAAAATAGGCGTCCCAATTATTCTGCTATTTTTGTAGTTGCTAAATTTCTTGAACATTTTACAATTTGATTCTACATAATTTTGGCAATAATAATCAATTGATTAAAGCCCTCGAGCTGAAGCTCTCGAGCTCTAATCAGATTATTAATGCCAAAAATTATGTCTCATCAAATTGGTACTAAAATATTCTCGAGATTTAGATTCAACAAAAATGGCTGACTATTATCGAGGTCTTGATATATTACCCTTGACAATATTACTATATTTTTATAATTTGATTATATTATTTTTTAATTTAATGATTTTCGTAAGATTATTATTTTTTGTCTGGAAGATAAGTACCCACTTATTATTTGTATAATTGAAAATGTTTTTGATACTTGAAACGAAAATTTGAAGGCTAGATTTAATTCAAAAATAGATTATAAAGTATACATAGACATTTAAATATCAATCATAAATATAACTTATTATTAAATACAAATCTTAACTCTTATTAGAGCTGAGGGTATAGCCACATATAAATTTTACAATATGTTAATTTTTATACAATGACGCCAAAAGAATGAAGTAGAATAAGCGATGCTGTTGATCAGGCAGAGATAGAACCGTGCGCGCCAGCCCACTAGTGGTATCCCCCAGTTCTAATTACTTTAAAAATAATTAATAAAATAAACAAAAAAGAAAAAAGAAAAAAGAAAAAAAGAAAAAAAGAAAAAAAGAAAAAAAGAAAAAAAGAAAAAAAGAAAAAAAGAAAAAAAGAAAAAAAGAAAAAAAGAAAAAAAGAAAAAAAGAAAAAAAGAAAAAAAGAAAAAAAGAAAAAAAGAAAAAAAGAAAAAAAGAAAAAAAGAAAAAAAGAAAAAAAGAAAAAAAGAAAAAAAGAAAAAAAGAAAAAAAGAAAAAAAGAAAAAAAGAAAAAAAAGAAAAAAAGAAAAAAAGAAAAAAAGAAAAAAAGAAAAAAAGAAAAAAAGAAAAAAAGAAAAAAAAGAAAAAAAGAAAAAAAGAAAAAAAGAAAAAAAGAAAAAAAGAAAAAAAGAAAAAAAGAAAAAAAGAAAAAAAGAAAAAAAGAAAAAAAGAAAAAAAGAAAAAAAGAAAAAAAGAAAAAAAGAAAAAAAGAAAAAAAGAAAAAAAGAAAAAAAGAAAAAAAGAAAAAAAGAAAAAAAGAAAAAAAGAAAAAAGAAAAAAAGAAAAAAAGAAAAAAAGAAAAAAAGAAAAAATATTTTATTTTTCTCTATCTGAGATTCAAACTCGAGTGTTCTGTATGGAAGGCAATAATGCTGACCACAGGACCATCTACGCTTTTATTTTTTTGATTTAATACTCTTAATTAAATTGACTTCATATAGTTTTATTTAAATTAACAAATTATTTATAATTATAGACCAAATAAAAATAGAAATTCTATTATTCTATAGATTTTACACAAGAATAACTCATTTTAATGTATGTTTAATATCAATAACTGAAAAATATACTGACAATTAGTTTGACAGAATTGTCACTTATTTAAAATTTTAAAAATAATAGTAGTCGGTTGATCACAAGTATTAGAAATTAAAAATTTTAAAAAACCGACTTCAAAAACGTGCAGATGCCATCACCACATCTTAACCAAATTTATATGGAACCACCCCTGAGGTATCCCCTTACTAACAAAAAAAGAATCATATAAATCGGACAAGGTGGTAAAGCATTATCGCTAAACATACATAAAAAATGAAGAGTTTGAGGATTTTCTCATAGACCCAATTATTAGATTTTGACTAAATTTATATGGAACCACCCCTGAAATACCCCCTTTCTAACAAAAAAACAATCATTGAAATCGGACACCGTGTTAAGGAATAATCGCTGAACATACATAAAAAAAATATCGCGACGAATTGATAACCTCCTCCTTTTTTGAAGTCGGTTAAAAATATGAACTGTGATTGGTGGTGTTCTTACTACCTAGAATGGATATGAAATATATTCGTTCAGTTGAAGGCAATAGCATACTTTTTCGTTTTGTAATCTGTGCGCAGATAAGTTAATTTCCGTGTGGTTATAGAAAGAAAACATTCAATTTTACTACAGAAAATTAATCGCAACCTAACAAAGGTCAATGTCAATAATTATCATATTTCCTAAACAATTATCAAAATAAAATTTATAAAATACTAACCTGTCCTCCGTACGAGCATTCAAGTTTGATTTTTCTTCTTGTAACCATATTTTAATTTCACTCAAACACTTATCTCTAATTTCCGATGTTTCATTTATATTATCTTTGGCATATTCTTCTATTTCTTGACCTAAGGTAAAAACATATTTCTCAGCCATCTCAAGAGGTACGTATGTTACAGAGGCAGGTCAAATCACTTATGTACATTCATTATCAGATCAATAGAATTAGGTACATTAATTAAAAGAAAAGGAACAAATAAATGATAATTTAAATGAATAATCAAAAGTATCCTAATCGGAATATTTGACCTTTACTACTAGTGAGTAATTCTAACTGTATAATCTAACAAATTAAAATGTTAAAATGAACAATAGACGATAATAACGTCATTTTAGTAAATTTATCTTGGGAGAAAAAGTAAAATATAAGTAAGTTGGATTGTTGCACATGCATTACTGGATGAATATTGAGTACTGAATTCATAAAACTAAAACCGAGCTAATTATGTTTATGCTTAACAAATTAGTGGCAACGGTTCACTGCAATTTTGTTAGAAATTAATTTGTATCTTTATCGTGAAGACCTTGAAACAAAACACATTAAAACATTCAAATTAAGAGCAAACCGAACCTCGCGCGAAATGAAAAATGTTTTAAGGATTTTCTAATATAAGATTGTTAATAGGTGTGCCACTGGGAATACTTCACGATATTATGTTTCTCGAGAATATAGATAGGTTTAAATTTGTGCAACGATGCTCTATATGATGAATCTAAAATATACGACATTAGACAACTATACTATATTCAATTAAATGTAAAGCAATACCTTAATAAAAATGGTCTAGTAAGCTCAAATCATGGCTATGACACTCGTCAGAAAGAAACATTTTTAATACCATTTATGAATAAGTCCATTGGTCAAAAAAGTTATGCCTATTTAGCTCCTAAATTATTCAATTCCCTGCCCGAAACGATAAAGAAAACAACAAATCTTATAAAGTATAAAAACTTATTGAAAAAATTTGTCAGTGGAAAAAATAGAATTGAAATCCATAACCTAATAGAAAATTAAATATAGATTGGCAAATTAAGTAGTTAGTAGTAACAAAAAAAAAAAAAAATCTATCCCGTTAGCGAAATATGTCTCAGTGAGTATGATATTGTTTCTAATATTAGTTGTTTAATAGCTTAGCTGTATATTATATTATATTATTATTACTATCATCATTATTATTCTTATTAATATCTTATTCTAATAGGTACTTCTTACGAGAGATACTTTATAATCCTTAATCTTAATTTTTAATTTTAAGTAATACTTGTTATGGTACTTTCTTCTTTTTTTATATATATATTTGTTCTGCCTACACACAGGTTATAACCTCGTAGGCTTATTTTGGATATTTATAGGCTAAAATTACTCGATTGTATATATATATTTGTAAAATTCAAATTGGCCAATAAATATTATTATTATTATAAGGCAGCACTCTACAGTGACGTTTAAGAAAAAAGGTGGGAAATCATCCCATTTAAAAACTACTAGATATTTATTCAAACAAAAATCAGCAAGTTTTCATAGATTTAATGCAGAATGGCATGTTTTTTTTAATTAGTTTTAAAAAAATTCCAAATAAATTTTTTTCGAAGGCATACAAAAGAAATCAAGATTTCTTCACCCTAAGTTTTGTTGTTATTGGTATTTCCTGAAAATTTTCCAAAAATCGGACTAAAAAGAAAGGAACAGAAGAAATTATAAACTTTCAGTACAATTTTTTTATTAATATATTGTGCAAAATAGCTTCAAATGCGATATTTTTAGTGAAGAGAGCAAACAAAATTAGATAAGTAAACTTGTGTTTTTAACAACTACAGGGCGGGCTGTAGGCAAGAAATACGTAGGTAGTAGGGGAAGGTGTCCTATAATAACATACTTTTTGTAAAAAAAATTATAATTTTTTTGTACTGATTTATTTTGAAAATATTTTCACAGAAGGGCAAAAAAAAATGAATAATCCTTAAATTTCTTAAAGAAAAACGTAATATAATGAAAATGAGCCACATACTTTGATTACTATACGGTGCAAGAGAGAGGTCCGACACGCCCAAGATAGTACGCGGCCATTTTGATTCCTATACCACAGTTTATAGCTAAATAATCAGATCGCTCACTCTGCGTCGGCACTTTTGATCTCAATGTTTCAGTTTATACACTGCGCAACTCGGATAATTCAATATATGACAACCGCCTATAATAAAACAGCAGTCTTCTGCGTATCTTGAATTTGTATCCCTGGAGTGGACGTTATTTTGAAACTTTCAACTGGTCCGAGTGAGCTAACTGATTCTTAAGCAATAAACTGTGACTCTAAAAATAATATTCACTGACACTGACAGCAGCAAGCAAAATATCAGGTGCGTTTTAATCATCCGCTTCTGCTTCCGGAATTGTCGGTTTAGTCGTTTTAACCTGTCAGATTAAAACAAGAAAACCGACAATTCCGAAGCAGAAGCAGATGATTAAAACGCACCTATTAAAAATATTGCGCCAAGATTTTTCTATCTCCTTTTAAAAGGCACTCAGAAAGCTACGCAGTGCGACCATTCTCCGTATAGTAGAAGAAAATCAAAGTATGTGGAAATGAGCCCACAACTGACACAGCATACACTGGATCCAAGTTTCCTTAGATTTTGATGCCCTAAATAACCCATTGCAATAGATGCAAGACGCATCATCTTCATCATCAGTGTCTTGAAAGGGTTCACTTTCTGCATCTGTCTCATCTTCAATTATTGCCTTGGGACTCTTTTTTGTAGTTTGATCACGCAAATTTATATGTAATTTAGAACAATGTGCTTCTGACATATTTTGTTCTTTAGAGTTGTCACAAGAAATCTTCTTTTTAATTTTCCGTCCGTCAATTTTTGATTTTTTCTTTGCTTGCTCTTCGTTTTTATATTTCGATTCCTCAAGATTCGGAGAACATGTTAAGACCACGTACTTTTTTGTTACATTCCTTTTTCTTGATTGGTATATTGCTTTTGGAGGTAAAGATATTTCTAAAAATGGCACCTTTGCGACTACTGTCTTGCCTTCTTCATTACTATTGATTGGAAGTTCAGAAACGACATCTGGTTGATTTTCTTTTTCTGTTTGATTGTCATCGTGAAGCTGCTCCCCCAACGGATTTGGTGTTTCAGCCTGAGTATCTTCTAGTTGTGTCCGCTGGTACTAAAAGGTAATCGGGAAAAACGTTGGAATTAAATGGACTAATTCCTGTTTTATCAAATCCGCTCAATGCATTTTGGATTGTGGCTGCTTTACCATATGCTTCAGAAAAGAGTTCACTCACTTGGTAAGCTGTAATAACACGACCTGGATGATTTTTCATCCATGTGGTACAAGCCTGATTGTAATACGCCATTAGGGGTCCAAAAAAACTCACATCAAGCGGCTGCATACAGTGGGTGCAGTGAGCTGAGAAGCACATGAGAATGATTTTATTCTATCTACAAAACGACACAGCTGCTAAGGAGGTATGGCTTACATGACCATCAAGCAGAAGGAGGATTTTATTCTCCGGAGAGGGACTAGCATGTTCGCAAAAATTTTTCAGCCTTTGAAGGAAGAGTTCTGAGTTAATCCAACCAGACTCTTGGCACAAACCTAAACTTCCAGGAGGTGCTTTATCAAAAAGTTCATCTTTTTTGTTTTTTCTTGAAAAGATCAAGGCTGGAGAAATATAGTTACCTGTTGCACTCATGAAACAAACAACAGTTACATGCTGGCCTCTTTCTGCGCTTGTCAGGGATCCTACTTGTTTGCGCCCAGTTGATGCCAATATTTTCGGAGGTTTCTGGACAGTAGACAGTCCACTTTCATCCATATTGTAAATCTTCTCAACAGTGATAGATTTCTCTTGTAGAACAGAATATAAAACCTCAAAAAATTTGGAAACTTGAGGCTTGTTAAAAGCTCGTGCCCTGGCTGCTGAAGTGGGTTCTGGCCGTCGTAGAGATATGTCGGTATTTCTTTTGCGAAATACTCTGAACCACTCTTTTCCTGTGATTCCTTTTTCACGGTTAAATCTATGATCTAGTTAATTTTTTTCCGCTAACTCATAAGCTAATTGTCTCACTTCGGTTGTGGTTAAACCAAACAGTCTAGATTTAAGATATTTTAGGTGTTTTATCAACTCTTTCTCTGTTTGGAAATCAAAAGTTATTGGAAATCGGCCCAGACTTTTCTCTATACCTTTAACTCTTATTAGCAGCTCTGCATCTAAGAGTTGCTTGGGGAACGTTACAGACTTTAGATGCTTTTAGCCATCCCATTCTCTTTTCTTGTACATCTTTTATAGCTTGCTGCATAGATGCTTCATCCCATGACTGTCTATTAGTCTCTCTGACGTACTTCCCAACCATGGTCATCTGTAAAAAAAATTAAAGATCAAATTACAATTAAATCATTGTACCAAAAAGATTAGAAATTGTACTGTGCGTCGTATAAAATGTCATACTATGTCATTTTAACAACAACCGCAATATGTCATTTTAAACGCAATGTTACATTTTCAATATATAGATTATTATTGATAATGTTGAAGTTTCCATTAAAAAACCTACTTACCAATCAATTGTTCACTGTTCACATATAATAATTAATGCCAACACAATATTTAATACCCCGAAGAACAGCAATGTAAAATCCACGCATACAAAACTTTCTTGCCACTGAAACATAACCTACACAATAAAACCGTTAAATAAACCTGGAGAGATCTGTAAACTTATTATATTTTAATAGAGTGTCTGTTACTTAGTACAGTTACCGAATAAGAGATGCCGCTTCTAGTTTCCTATATAGAGCAAGTGTGTCATTTTAGCAGCTATGTCATTTTAGGACACTTTCCTCTACTGAATACAAGTATTAGAAATTAAAAATTTAAGAAAACCGACTTCAAAAACGTGCAGATGCCATCACCACTCAACCAATTTTACATGGGACCACCCTTGAGGTATCCTCTTACTGACAAAAAAATATTCATAGAAATCGGACAAGATGGTAAAGTTATCGCTAAACATATATAAAAAATGAAGAGTTTGAGGATTTTCCCATGGATCCAATTATTAGATTTTAACCAAATTTATATGGGACCACCCCTGAAGTACCCCATTTCTAACAAAAAAAAGAATTATTGAAATCGGACACCATGTTGAAGAATTATCGCTGAACATACATAACAAAAAAAAAATTATATATCGCGACGAATTGAGAACCTTCTCCTTTTTTGAAGTCGGTTAAAAAAAGCGAAAAAAATTCATACATTTTTTTTTATTAATTATAATAGCGTAATAATTATGCTCAATCAAACATAAAAAAAAACAAGTCATTAAAATCAAATGAAACGACCGTATTCAATGTTTTCGCGACTGGATAATGTTTTTACTTCTCATTTGTGTCTTCCACAAGCGAATTTTGTTTTGAAAAGCTATAAGATGACTTGTTTT